AGTGTTGAGTGTATTAATGGTGTTGTGATTGGAAAGCATTTTATCACTTATTTTACATGAATTCAAATCAATTGAATTGCAATTCATTGACAAATTGACTGCATTTTCACATTCAATCCCTTCACACAAAACACTTTCATTTTGTGATATAAAACACTGCATTTTATTTCAACTTTGGGACAAACTCTTTAATTCAAAACTCGTATTTAAATAACATATCATTTTAATTAGTAATTCATTTATTTGTGAGCACATTGTAAACAAAATCAAAACTACAGAAAACTAAACGTGAAAATAAGTCTAAAATCCATTTCCCTTCTCAATGCGTTTTGCTTTCAAACCCTGATTTTATCAAATGATTTAATCATATGATGTTTGCATTACTTTCACTACTGTATTGTAGTTCAAAACGATTATAATAAATATAAATATCAAAACATTATAAAACATATAAACTTCAAACATATTACCACTAGAAATACACAAAATTAGTTTTTATGAACACTTTTCTTATGATTATCTAAATCTTGTTGCTTAAGGCATTCTTTTCGGCAATTCTTATAATCACATTTAAACATTTTAATCGCGTGAACAGTGATCATGTGTTTCTTTCTTCGATTTTTGGTCACAAAATATTTGCCACAATAATTGCATCTAAAATCTGTGGCCATTGAATGGACATTAATGTGATGTGTGGTAAACGCTAGCTTTTTGGCAAAACTTTGTCCGCACTCGCAGTCATAGAAACCAGACGTCGACTTCCTATTATAGATCAACATACGATTCATTTAATATATTATATATTGCATAACATGAAATTTATATAAACACTTATACCGGTACAATTAATTTCAATAATACATACCTCAACGATTTAATATATTGTTTTGTGTACGTGGGTGGCGTTGAAGGGCACGGAACACGTGGTCCACTGTCATCCGGTGTTGGCAATCGGTTTTCATTTGTATTACAAGTGAGCACCGGGTGGACGGCTATAACCTCGATATCATCATCGGTTGAGTTACTTTTTTTAAACAAAATAATTTAGTTAAATTCATGTAAACAATAAATTTATCAAAAAATAAACGTTTAAATACTTATGCAATGTGTTGGCCGTTGAATCGGTACGTCCGACAGTACTATTGGTATGATTTTTGCTACAATCATCGTCGACTGAATGCACGTGAATTCGGTGAAGGTTTAAGCCATTATGTGAGTTAAAACTTAGGCCGCAGTTATGATAATCACATTTGAATGCGACGGACAGAGAATGGCATTGTTTTTTGTGTTCATTCAACTCAATTTCAGTCATAAACTTTTTATCACAGCCAGTGTCATCACAAACAAATGCATGATCAGTTAATTTGTGTTTAATTAACTCATTCTCTAAACTATATTTCTTACTGCAATTATTATAATTACATTTAAATGTCTCATTACTTTCACTGTGTCTCTGTTTATGTGTAATTAACTTATCGTTTGATTTAAACGTTTTAAAGCAACTATAGCCGCAAACAAATGGCCCTAATTGTGACTTATGTTCAGACATGTGATGAATGTGTAGGTAGCACTCGTTATCGAATGACCTGGCACAGTCGCCGTAACCTTTACAGATGTACGACACTTTCAATTCGTGTGCCTTATGATTGTGTTTACTCAAGTGAGACATACTGCAAAATCTTTTGCCACACTTTTTATAATCGCATTCATACGGCTCGCACCACTTGTGGGCCACGTGTTTGTGTTTAT